TAACAAGGGATGGATTATTTTCAAATTTAAAAATGATGAAGATAGATCAAAAGTGTTGAATGGAGGTCCTTATACCATCTTTGGTATACAACTCATTTTAAAAACGCTTTCGGGAGATTTTTCCTTTGATGACGATGAGTTTCTCAAAGTCCCGATTTGGGTAAAATTTCCTAATCTACATAGAAGAGGTTGCGTGAGATACCCCTGCACCAGCCTCAGCGTTTACTGGTTTTTTATTCACAGCATCCGTTTTAGCACACCCAGTCACCTGGTCGGACTTCCCATAGCTCAGGGATGGAAACTCATCATCAATTCCGTCCAGGACAGCAAACCTGGTTGACGACCTTGTAGCTCGCGAGTTGGAAACCTTCCCAGCACCCTGTTTCTTCGTTGACATCACCAGTTACGAAGAACAGAGGTTAGGTTTAAAAGCCCAAAATCGGCGTAGTAAATACAAATCCAGTGTCGGAAAAGGATTCAGAAGCTAAATCCGACCAAACAACAGACTAAAATCGAAACAAAAAACATCAAAGTTCAGCCAAATTGCAAGAAATATGAACAGTAACCTCGCAATCCCTAATCTGCAAAGCGTAACCAAGCTTTGAAACTAAAATCCAAGACCGGATTTAGCTACTAGGATGGATTACGACTAGGGAACCGCCAAGAAACAGCCATCGAACATCATGAATCCAAGAAACTAGAGCAAATCATTCGTACGGAAAAGAGCTGGGTGCGTAACCCAGGAGAGAAGTGCTCTCGACTTTTCCTTTCTTAAGGGAATAATTTTGCTTTGCTTTACTTTAAGGTTTCGATACTCTTTTTCCTTCACTAGAATTTTTTCCCACTGGGTTTTTTTCTAGTAAGATTTTAAGGAGGCACCCCTCATCATGAACAAAGGAAGAGGTCTCCCAGTTGGAACAATGAAGACTCCTGATGGGTCCCATGTGAGGTAAAAGTCTAGGGGGGTGAATAGACTTTTAAAAAAATCAAAAACTGAGTTAGGAGCCGACTGAAAAGTTTTCAGCAAGCTGATTGTTTTTCCATATGGCTGCTGAATTTACAAAGGGTTTTCGTTGACTCTTTTCATACCTTTTCTTTTTTATTCTTTTCTTTTTTTATGGTACGTTTCTTCTGTTTTCAGTACTCTTTGTTTTTCTTGATTACTTTATCACTAATATTGGAGCACATTACAATAAACAAAGTAGAACAAATACAAGAACTAGTCTAATTCAAGAATAATACAAAGAGGGGTGGAAGCATCAAAACAACATACATTAGTTATCAAAATCAAGGGGACCTAACAATTTCTCCCCTTTTGATGATGCCAAAAACTAGAATAACAAACATTTATAAAGCGCAAAAGCATCGTTTAAAAGTCCTAAGTGTTTGATTCTATTTTCCCCCTGTTTGGTAGCAATAAACACGTACTTCTGGTGCCTTCTGCCTGATGATTCTCCAGGGAGGAAGTTTCTGGCTGCTCTTCTAGGTTCTGGAGGTGCCAGAGTTAGCTCAAGATGGTTGTTTTCAGATGATGAGTAAACCATTTGAATTAGGGTGATGGTTTTTCACAGAGGTTGCAGAAGAGGATGTCGTGGTGGTCTGAGCTTTGAGAGTGATGCATTTTTACAAAGCAAAGAGGATATTTATATAGAAAGCATGCGCAATCAATTGTTGAACCAATCTAAGAGTTTTTGTTCCTTATTAATGACTTTAACGGATGGCTCTCTTTTCGAAGCAAAAAACAGCATGGATAAACTCACTTAGATTTGCTTAGAGAAATGTTTCGAAACTTGAGTCAGTTGCTTTGGTCATCACGGATCAATGTTTCTCGTTGCATGTTGTTATAATTTCCTCTTGTGGAAATATATAGTTGGTTACTGGTCTATTTGTTGAGGAGTATGCATGGATAATGGATAGACCAGTAAATTATTGTTTGCTGGGGGTTAGGGCCAGCATAAGTTAAGCCAGATTCAATATCAATCCAGTTTTGTGATCTTCATTAGCAATGAGCTTAATGAGATTTCTCAGTTTTATTCCTTATATGATTAATCTTAATCATCAGATTATCATTTTAGTAAATTCACTATGTGGACTTTCTGAAGTTTAGGATCTTTCAGTTTGTGAAAGGAATAAACTTATCTGAATGTTCTTTTGAGTGAAGTACAAATGGGATAAAGGTTTGAACATTCAAGATAAACTGTTTTACTGGAGTTGTATTTGAATTTACCTCTTCATGAGCATCTTTCCTTGATTAAGTTGGCCAGAATTGGTGATGTCATGAGAGTAAGTTTGACTTCTTCTTCAATTTGCATGGTAGTCCCTTATTTGACTTTGTGAATCTAGAGTTTGAATAACAACTTGTTTTCTTCTTTCTTGTTTCCTTTCCTTCTTGATGCGTATCCTTCATAATATTTTCCATCTCTTTTGACTATAAGTGTTTAGGTAAATTGGTGGTTCATCTTTTTTTCAAAATAAGCCGGTTAAGAAACTGACTCTATGAACAACCGCTCTGATACCAATTGATGGGTCTCAAGTGAGGTAAAAGTCAGAGGGGGGGGAGGTGAATAGACTTTTAAAATCTTTTCTTTTTCAAACTGTTTTCCTCTAACAGAATGAGTTCCAATATCTTTTGGGAGATATTGAAACCTACAACAGAAGTCTTGACCTCAAGAGTGACACTTTATGGTAACAAAGGTTATGACCCTGTTAGTTGTGTGAGAGATGGGATGAACACGGTGCAAATGTGTTGGCCAGAATCGGCTGGCTTAAGGAGTTGGCTGGTGAACCCCTCAAGAGCAGGAGTTGGCTGCTGAATTTCTCAGGAGTTGGCTGCTTGACCCTTTAGGAGCAAGCTGCTGATTTATCTGCTTTGTCCATGTTTAAGGTACAGACCCAAACTATGACCTTGTACAATGTTTGGCTTTTGTGAATAGACAAAACACATATGTATGAAGGATTTAGATCTATTAAAATAGATAATTTTGGTGAATGGAATCAAGGAGTTTGATTCACAGAAAACTTGGACAGTTTTCTGGACAGTGAATGAGCAAGATAGGCAAGCTGTTTTTATGGGGTTATGAAGGTGAGTGAGAACTGAAGTGTGTGTTAGGTGCTGAATATAAAAGGTGACACACGATGTATCCCGGTTCAGAGGTGGTGTAATCCTCCTACATCCAATCACAACATATTTCAGATGGATTTCCACTAAGTGAATATCACATTACATTTAGTGCCCAATCTACCCTTGGCCCTGGCGTAGATTGTGAGTTTTTTCACAAGGAATTGGAACACCATTCCAAGCTACTCAATCCTCCAAGGTTTTTCACTAATGACATTGACCTGCCAAGAGTTACTCATTCCCTTACCCTTCTCACCTTCTGGATTTGATCACAAAGCCCTCCAGAATGTCTAACACTAATATAGTTTACATGGGTGAAAACAAAACTACAAACTAATCTAAGCTATATAGATGTGTGAATTATCAGCTATTCTAAGAGCATTAGATGAGTGAGGGGGCAGCCTAAGTGGTGAAGGAGAATCGGTTTGCTGAATGTGTTCGTGTGAATATTGATTTCATTCTATTCCACTTGGCTCCTCTCTTGGTTAACCACACGGTTCCACACTTTTGGTCTTCCCACACTCCTTCTGTATTTATAGACTTGATGTTGAATCTCGTTTGTTGGGTGATGAGTTCAATCTTGACTGTTGCTTGATCTACTTGCTTTGTTCCACTTGTTTGAGGCAGCATGGTTGGTCTTTGTCTTCTTGCGACACAGATCAATATCTTCACTCAACTTGTTTCCTCATTTCAAGGCAAAGATAAAGATGTAATATCTTTATTTCTTTAGTTCATTGAAACTTAGTATATAAGCTGAGTATAGTTCAATGCTTCCTTACAATTGAAAATACTTGCTTTTAGTAAAATAAATTTATAAGAAATTTTTATAAGGTGGTATTTTTTTTTTATAAAATTACTTTAATCAGCTTTTTGTCATTTTGACTCAAGTTGGTCTTTTGTTTGATTGTTTTTGTGTTAAGAGAATATAGTAGATTTCGGTTGACCTGGCTGAAAAACTGAGTTAGGAGCCGGCTGAAAAGTTTTCAGCAGGCTGCTGATTTTTTAGCAGGCTACTGATTTTTCAGCAGGCTGTTGTTTTTTCAGCAGGATGCTGGTTTTTCCGGATGGCTGCCGAATTCACAAAGGGTTTCAGTTGACTCTTTTCGTACCATTTCTTTTTTATTCTTTTCTTTTTGTTTTATGGTACGTTTCTTCTCTTTTAAGTACTCTTTGTTTTTCTTGAGTACTTTATCACTAATATTGGAGCACATTACAATAAACAAAGTATAACAAATACAAGAACTAGTCTAATACAGGAATAATACAAAAAGGGGTGGCATCATCAAAACAACATACATTAGTTATCAAAATCTAGGGGACCTAACAACTGCATCCTTTCACAAGCAATTGAATCAAATTCAAGGCTCGTTAATGATTTCTTGGTCCAATTCCAAAACAACTTAACTATTCCCTTTTAGTCGAGTCTATTACTCGACTAAGGGAGTGGGGGACTCGTGTTGCGATAATGGGCCGGGTCCAAGACTATTGGCCCGTTACGCCCGAGCTTTGGCCTAACCAAGCTCGGAATACAGTCGGGCTAGCGAATATTGGTTCAGGATTATTTAATTACTTATCGGGTTGGCTGGCCCATTAACATCAGTATTAGTTGATAAATCGGGCCAAGCCCATGTAGCACTTAATCGATGAGCATGTTGTATACGCCTATAAATAGGCCACCAACCCTTTGTATTCACCTAAGCTTTTTCTACTATATTGAAATGCTGCGGCTAATTTCTCTACCCGAGTTATTTTCTACCAACACCAACGGTTGAGAGTCATTCTCATTTCTCACATTAGATGCATTTCTCACTTGAACCAAAATCTGTGTAAGTTACTATATTTACTTGTTAATTTTTGTTCTACTTAAATTGGTGGAAAATAAGGCCAACAAGAAACAAGATCAAAATACTTAATTGGATAGAAGAAATGGTCCCAAACGAGAATTATCATATTGTTTGACTAACAAAGATAATATGTGAAATTAACTTTATCAGACGTACAACGCGCATGGTGAAAACCAGTCACAGTAAATATTTAAAAATGGTGCAATATACCATAGTGACAATGACACAATCAACAAGCCAAACAATTCCTCCAACTAACATATAGCGATAGGCGGCGTTCATGGTACACGATCCATCAACAATGTATAACTTTATTCCCAACGAATAGCATAGAGCTCCTACGATGAATAAGATCTTGCATGTCGCCTCACATAAGTTACAAGCAAATATAACCCCTCCCCTTCCCTCTCCCTCGAAATCCCCCCAACCAAACTGGCCTTTAAATGCCACATTTTTCTCTCTCTTTCACTCCAATGGACACCCCTAAGGGCATCCCCTTTCATAGATTATTTTTGGGATCATTTTGATGATGTGGAGGATTTTTTTGGGATCATGGATGAGGAGTTGAGATTATTTTATGAGATTATTTGATAAAATAATCCGGTATCAAATTATAAAGCTGGATTATTTTGAGATTATTCACATCTTTTAGGCTCCTCTTCCCACTTTCTAGGCAACTAATAATAACTCTTTGTAAAAAAATCTAGGTAAGTTAAGATCATGGATGAGGAGAAATTGATAGGTTTGAAGATTATTTGAGATTATCTTATGTGGAAGTGACATGACAATAAGAAGCCATAAAAAACCGTAAACTTGAATATCATGAATGGAGATGCTCTAAACCCTAACAAACTTCATACTTACGTTATTAGATACTTTGATTGACTACAAAGTGTCTAGCCACTTATATTTGGTTATAAGTTTGGACTTTTAGTTTCTTAAATGCAAAAGAGATATATGGAGTACTTATTCATTAATGGAGCTGAGCTTGAATTGGTGAATTAAAGCGGTCAATATTTTCAAGAAAATATTACATTATTAAATTTATAGATTATCGATTTTTATTATTGAGATAAGTAGACAATTTCTGTGTAAATATCATTCCTCATATGTTATATGCTTCCGTAACATTATTCATTTTTCATAATTATTTTCGCTTAAAGAAAGAAAATTAAAGTCCAATTATATTGAATATCACATTCCATTTTATCATAATGATATTAATAATATTTGGAATGTGGCTTAATTATTCTTTAATTTTTTAGATGTTGGAACTATGTGAGAAAACTGAACCAATTCAAGTAAAGGGCCAAAATCTTGGATTTTAAAAGAATAGAGATTAAAGAAAGTAATTAAGTATTTTAAAATGTGAAAAATAAAAAATGTTTAAAAATATATTACAAGACATACAAATGAAATTAATCAACAGCTTTATGCTTCAATAACTTTATTCAATTTTCATAATGTTGGCTTAAAGAAAGAAAAGTCCAATTATATTGAGTATCACATTAAAAAAGCAATGTGGAAATCGTTGTTCCCTTTAATAATAATAATCTTTGGAATGTTAGTTGCATAATTTTCTCAAAATAGGACTAAAAACGTGTGTATATTCCAAAATAGAACTATCATGTTTTTATTCCCGAAATAGGACTAATTACTGCCATATTTTGGAAGTACCAGACTTTAAACATGACATTTTTTTCCAAACTTGGTAGTAATTACTCCTATTTTGGGAATAAAAAATGTCAGTCCTATTTTGGAGTTTTCAAACTTATTTACTCTTATTTCCGGAATTTTCCCAAAACTGAACCAAGTAATGAACCAAAAGTCTTGGATTTTATAATAATAATAGAAATAAAAGAAAGTAAATAAGCATTTAAAAATAAAATAGGGGAAAATAATATAGATACTCCAAACTTTTAAGGGGTGTAAGATAAATATCTCAAACTTGCATATGTGTACTGGTCACTATGACTAATCAGTGGTAGACCATGATCACTCTGACCAGCGGTGGTCACTGACGAATTTTTTGTCACTATGACGTTATTGTAGCACTGGTTAGTTGGGATTATATTACTATAGGGTGTAGTAGTCGAGTGCGTATACCGTGCAACCCGTATACGGTGAGCACCGTATACCGGGACGGCTTTATATTTTTTTTTCCTTTTGTTTTTAAAAAATGGTTATAACTTTTTTATTTTTGATCCGATTTTTATAAAATTTATATCAACATTTTTTATTTTTCATGATCTTTCAAATGAGACCAATATTGCCTATTTAATTTTAACATATTAACATTTATGTGTAAAATATGTAACTTTAAGAGTTAAAATATGTAACTCACGTTCAGTCAAGTCAAATGCAACTCGTGTGTATAAATATGTATCTCTACGTGTAACAATATGTAACTTTATGTAAAAAAATATGTAACTCGCATTTAGACAGGTCACATGCAACTCGTGTGTATAAATATGTAACTCGCGTGTATAAATATGTAACTTTACGTGTAAAAATATGTAACTTTACGTTTAAATATATGTAAGTCGCGTTCAGAAATGTCAAATGCAACTCGTGTGTATATATATATGTAACTCGCTTATAAAAAGATGTAACTTGCTTATAAAAAGATGTAACTCGCTTATAAAAAGATGTAACTTGCTTATAAAAAGATGTAACTCGCTCATAAAAAGATGTAACTCAATGTATTATCAAATGTAACTGAGGCCACTGATCCACTCCCAAACAGATTCGAGCTTCTATTTCACAAACCTATCATCTCCCAAACAGATTCGATTTTTCTTATAATCCAATACTCATTAATATAATAGTTCGATAATTTCTTAAAATTACATACACAATATTGGTCTCATTTGAAAGATCATGAAAAATAAAAAATGTTGATATAAATTTTATAAAAATCGGATCAAAAATAAAAAAGTTATTATCATTTTTAACATCAAAAGCAAAAAAAAAAGAAGATGCTGCGTCGTTTTTGCAACCGGGCGCATCATCCTCATGGTGGTGCGCCGGTTGCACCATATAATATGCGGTAGTAGTCAGTCTTGTACACTCTTTTTAGTCTCTTGTCGGAAAAAAGTCACATTTTTACCTATTCATTAATTTGTTTTTTAAAAATCCTAACCCTAAAGAAATGTCAACAAATAGGAAAGGTTATATTTACTTCCTTCATAAAATCGATCTATTTCGATCTCATTAATAAAGAAACAGAGTTCAAACGATCAATTTTTTATAGAAAAAATTCCACTTTTGGTCTCATGACTATTATACCACTTTCACATTTAGTCTGTGACCATTATCCCCTAAATGTTGTGAGGGATAATGGTCACGGACTAAATGAGGACAATCTGAAAGTAAGGGACTACATGTGGAAGTGGTATAATAGTCATGAGACCAAAAGTGAAATTTTTTCTTTTTTATATTATAAAGTAAATGAGCCCTATTATGAGTAACAAATAACGACACTATAATTTGGAAAATATTAGGGAAAAGGTCAAATAAGTCTTTGTACTATTTTCAAAACATCACAAACCCTTGTATTAAAATGGCTTGATTGATTGTATGTAAAAAGTAAACATACTTATACGATACTTTTTAAATAGAAAAATTTAAATGATGAATTGCGAATAGTAGAAGGGTCTATTTGACCCTTTTTCCAAAAATATATTATAACTTGGATACATTACTTTAAAAATAAAATACTACGAGTACGTACGATTGCATAGGTTCAAATTGAGAAGACTAAAGGGTCAAATAGGTCCTTGTATCCTTCTGGATTGCTCAATTTGCCCCCTCAACCCAAAAAACTCCAATTGGCACCGTGAACTCGGTAAAAATATTCAAATTTCACTTTTTGCAGGTTTTAATCCGGTCACCGCCACGTCACCCGGTAGGGTGTCAACTGTGCATGTGACGTGGCAACTTAGGGGGTCAAATAAGCCCCTGAACCTGATCGAATTGTTCAATTTACCCCCTCAACCCTAAAAAATGTCAAAAAAATTATAAGGATTGAGGGGGTAAATTGAACATTTCAGTCGGGTTCAGGGGTTTATTTGACCCCCTAAGTTGCCATGTCACATGCACAGTTGGCACCCTACCGGTTGATGTGGCGGTGACCGGCTTGTGACCTGCAAAAAGTAAAATTTGAATCTTTTTATGGAGTTCAAAGTGTCAATTAAAACTTATTTGAGTTCGGAGAGCAAATTGAACAATCCGGAAAAGTACAGACCTATTTGACCCTTTAGCCAATTGAGAAATGGGAATTAACATACCAAGAAATTATCAAGAACGTGATGGCGTATATCTTCATTTTGTTGGGGTTCTCGTGGCCCGGATGAGGAATCCGGTAGGCGGCGAGACCCGATTGTGTAACAAAGAAACGAACCCCCGAAAGCAACCCTGCTATGATAATCAAAAGAACCACCGTGACAATGTTCAAATGTACTGCCGCACCACAAGCATCAGAACTCCCAATGTCACCTTCCGCCTAATAATCCAAAATTCAAAGTGAAGAACACCTTAATTTGTTTTTTCTCGATTGTATTTAGGGAGGGTTTGAATCTACTTCCTCTGCTTCTACTCTTTCATGGAGTAGAAGCAGGTGACATATGTTGGAATGTTTGGAAGAAAGAACATAAGTATTTATAGATGCTTCAAATTACTGCTACAAACAATTCTTTAGGCGCTAGGAAAGCACCTTCTCAAAAATTGATTTTGATTATGCTTTCACTTAAAAAACGAAACAAAATCAACTTCAAACCCCCTTACATTCTCGCCACTCTCTAGGCTATCGGGCGCATACCAGGGGCGGATCATGGTGAAGGCAGGGGTGGGCTTCAGCCCAGCCCAATTTTTTTTAATTAGTATAGTTAAAACCCAAAGGTCCGACCCATCCCAAAATTAATCTTAGCCCAGCCCAAGCCTAATACCAGACTATTCCACTCAAGCAAACCTGCGACCAACTTCTTGTGCGAACTGGCGGAAGTTTGGAAGCAGCAAGACTGTGAAGCACGAAGGTAGAAGAGGGGAGTAGCGGAGCTGCAGCGGAGACACGAACCCCAGCCGACTTGCGGCCACCAGCTGCGCCGCCTCCCGTTGTCCACACTCAAGGTATACTTTAAATTCTAGTACGTACTCTTTTAGACCTTTTTTCTTGATTAAACATTATATAATTTTTTAAAAATTGTACTACATATTATTTTGTGAACCATTGTAAATCTATTTGAATATTTGATTAACGAAGAGAGTCTGGAGCGATTTTATTGTGTTTTATTTGTTAAACATTGTATTATTTTTTGACTTTGTGTAATTGTGTATTATTTTTTTCAGTTTTGTAAATCTATTTGATCATTAATTGAATTTTTTAGTACATAATAAAATAGAGTTAATTCATTATAAACTTATAATGATTAAAGATAGAATTCAATATTATAGAGTGATTTATTTTTTATACATATTTAAAGATTTGAAAATTAGAGAATGATTTATTTATTGTGTAGACATGTAAGAAGGAATTAAAAATTTCAATTGAATTTTGAAATTGGAAATACATACGTAGTATTAGTTATTATATACAATCGTCTCTTTTTCTTATTAAATTTAAAATTTTATAAAAGTATTTTAATTCATACCAATATTGAATGTAAAAGTTTAAGCTATTCTCGTTAATAGATTCATGTTTGAATTATTCAATAAATACTCAATTCTTTATTAATCATTAATAAACTCTTAAAATTGCCCTAAAACGTTTAAATTTTGAGATATACTTTCTCCGTCTCTTTAAATTAAAACGGTCTACTATTCACGTTTGCTAACACACAAGTTTAACCATTAACATCTTTCATTTCTTGTTAGTAAAATATCAAAAATATCAGATTTTGAAATTTTAAAACGAGAGGAATTTAACAAATAATTTTCAAAAAATTAATTTTTAATACATTAAGAAATAAAAAAGAACCGATGTAATACAATTTATTTCTATAATTTATGAGTGAACAATATGCTCGAGTCCGGATCAGACCAAACATCAATATGCATGTCGGAATTCAATTTGATTTATTATTCAAACTCAAAACCTAGCCCATGTTCGAGTTCGAAGCTCATTAAGGTCGGGTCATTAAATTAAATTAGAAATCAAGCTCAAACTTGAGTATATAGTTTGAAAAAATCTCAATTTGGTAATAGCTCTAAGCTAAACCTTGTATGTATAGCTTAGCCCACCCCATTTCTGATTCCTGGAGCCGCCCCTGATGCATACATATAAATATACGGAGTATAATTTATCTCTCTATATATGTCAGTGAAATGAAATTATATATGAAAACTACTAAGAAGTAATAATACACATATAAATGGGCGAGTAATTTACATACCTCATCACATGCATGTTGATACGATGCTGCCATAATCTGTAGACATCCTGCTATAACTGCCGCTACTATGGTCCAACAAAAATACAAATCTCCATTATCGGCCATTTTAGATAGCTGAGGAATTTAGTTCCACGATATCTATTCGACGAATTTTCTTTCTTTGTTTTTGCTTCGATTTTGGCCAATTGCCAAGCGAAAAATGAGATGTACAAAAACATTGGAGAACAAGACATCTATATATAATGAAGAAATTGTTGAATACGGAGTAAAATATACGGACAAGTTCTAAAGTAAGACTGTAAGACTCAACACATTCTTCACGAAATAAGCCGAATTTATTTAGTCCTTTTAAATAATATTAAATATTAAATACTTATCAAAATAGAAATGAATGATTTTGAAAAAATACATTGACATTTCTCTTTAAGAGCTATACATTATTTAACTTTCATCCGATCGGAATTAACTTCAGCTCAATAAATAAGAGAAATTTTCTAAAATAGAAAGTAAAAATAATTTGAAATTTTATAATATGAGTAACATAATTTCGCAAAATAAAGAGTAATTATTGTCATTTTGAAATCATATTATATAGCAAAATATTCATGTTACAATTGGTAATAATGATAGCAATGGATTATAATTTAATATCGTTTTTACTCGGAAGGTGCCGTCATGGTCATGGATTACGTATGTGCGTGTCAAAACTCAAAAGAGACTTAGTATTATTTGCTGTCTTTACGTGACACCGCCGTATACGAAGTATGATGGTAAACGATGATGTTGCCCGAAGAAAGGTAAAATTTTGCCGCATACGTAACAAAAAAAAAACACATCTCATCGCTGAGCGCACTAAGATCGAATTGTACGTAAGTTTTGGAAAGAATTGACTAGCCTGGTTCAGTGGCGGAACCAGGACTCGTGACTCGCAGGGGCACAATAACAAAGAAATGATATACTAGTCTAGAAAAAAATCATATGCATCACGAGTATAGCAATAAACAAAACTATAAAATTTAAATAAAACCACTGTTTTTGGAATGATCTGTTGCACCCATTAAAATCACTTTGTGGAAATTTAAAGTCACGCGGTTGGCAAGGACCTTTTCTCAAATAACGTCTCCTCAACTCATCTCTAATATTAACATCATAAGTCTCAATCGGCATAACTTTTCTGTCCAGCACTTTTCTGTCCGAACTCCGTCCGAACACCGGCGTTTGGTGAGGTTCCCGGCGGAATATTTTGATGAAAATTTTTGAGCATGTTCCTCATCAAGTCTAGTTTATCCATATCAAACTTAAGCTCAAAATTCGATCGGGAAGGCAGTCAAATAATTCGTTGAAGTTAACTGCGCCAAATTATACATAGAAAAAGGCAGTTAACTTCAACGAATTATTTGACTTCCTTCACAGTCGAATTTTGACCTGAAATTTGGTATAGATAAACTAGACTTGATGAGGAACATGCTCAAAAAGATTCATCAAAAAAATCCAGCTGGAACCGCCCCAAACGGCGGTTTCGGACGGCGTTCGGACTGGGAGGTGCTGGACCTGAGAATTTTCCAATATATATATATAAAAAAATCACCGCAGGGGCACGCGCACCCCCTAGTCCTAGGGTGGGTCCGCCCCTGGCCTGGTTGGATCTCATTCTTAAAACTGCTTTTGCTCTCTGAAGGAACAGAATCAGAAGTTGAAGTGTTTGGGTGAAAGTGTATAAGTGATTCTGGTACTCTAATTTACTTCTAGAATCAGTTTTTTTAGAAGTTGGGGTGACCAGCTTCTGAAAACTGATTCTGATTCTAATTCTACTTTAAAAAAGAAGCAGAAACAGAATTAGTTCCAAACATCCCCTAAATAGGAGTAAAAAAGTTTTGAAATTTCAAAATAGGACTATCATGTTTTTTATTTCCTGAATAAGAGTAAATTTATGCCAAGTTTGGCATTACTAGACTTTAAACATGACATTTTTTTCTAAACTTGGCAGAATTACTTTTATTTAAGGAATAAAAACATGAAAGTTAGGTTTTGAAATTTCAAAATGTTTTTACTCCTATTTAGGGCAATTCCTATAAGTTTTTGTGTTGAGTTGAACTTGGCACCTCTCTCTTATGGGCACCCTTTTGGCCTTTAATTTCTACCGGGTGAGTTACACCCCGGTCATGACAAAACTCCAAAGAGCGGACATGAACTTACTCCGTTCATTGTTGATCACGTCTTTCTTTTTCTGCTGGTCTTACTAAGAATGTCTATTACGAAATTTGATAAAGTTTATGTATGTTGGTTCTAAGTTCTAATTCATTTTTACTACTTTATTCTTATTTTATCAATTCAATTTAATACTAATCTATTAGGATGTTTTTACTTGGACTGTAATTTGCTGGTCTGGTCTGGTTTGGTCTGGTCTGATCTGGTCTGGTCTGGTCTGATCTGGTCTGGTCTGGTCTGGTCTGAACTGGTCTGGTCGGGTCTGGTTTCTTTGTATTTTTATAACTATCCAAGTCTGGTCTGGTCTGGTCTGATCTGAACTGGTCTGGTCTGGTTTGGACTGATCTGCTCTGGTCTGGTCTGATCTGGTCTGGGACGAATTACAGTCCAAGTAAAAACATCCTAACAACACAACATTCTCATGTCCCAATGTTAGTGGGATGTAGGTAATATTTTTTAGTGGAGTTTAAATTTTTACTTGTCAATGATAAGATTATATTTCAAATATATTTTATTAATAAAATACAGAAAAAATATGAAAAAAATCTAAAATGATTCTCTATATAGTAACTTATTGAAGTAAAATGCTAAAGGTACCTCAAAGTTGTACCTCATTTTTACCTCATCCCTAATTGTGCGTTCATAAATGGGGCAACTCATTTAAGTGGTGCCCTACTTAAATGAGTTGCCCCATTTATGGCCACACATTAGGAGTGGGGTAAAAATGGGGTACAACTTTGGGGTACCTTTAGCATAGCTCCTTATTGAATTCTCACACATGAAACTTGTGAAGGAATTAAGTGTGGAGTATATTAAGATCTGAATTACTCCTCCTATCAGATTGACCTTTTAGGATTGAACCCCATATCCTGACATGGTATCAGAGCCAAATCGATCCATGGTGTGGGCCCCCTATTTAAAAATGATACCACGATTATAAAAAATGCCAATAACAAATCGATAAAAAAATGAATGACGACACGATCCAGACGTAGTGTCTGGTCGTGAGGAGGGGTGTTGAATTCCCCCACACATAAAACTTGTGAAGGAATTAAATGTTATATTAAGATCTGGATTACTCCTTCTATCAGGTTGACTTTTAGGATGAAACCTCAGATCTTGCTGTAACACCCCGAAATTTCCCACCCAAAACATTGATATATTTAAAAGGAATTCTTTATTCATTCATCAAAGAGTTGAAGAAATATAGTGGAAGTCTAAAAGGGAAATGGGTGTTACCGCCACATCTGGTCATGTCTTAACCGAATGCACAGGCAAACCAAAACAAAACAATAAAACTAATGAAATAGTAAATAAATGTTTATTTCATGACTAAATTTAACTAAGGCATCTTCAAATTCGCACTCAAGCTCGAGCAATCCATTAATCCACATAGGCATCCAACTCATCACCTGATAAAATTTAAGGGAGAAGAGAGAGACAAGAGAAATAACAAAATAAATTAGCTTTAGAGCTAAGTAAGTACTACCAAAACCCGTAAAATAATCAGGTTTGGTGAAAATAGTTTTTATATAATACTTATATAAAAAGAACTCACTCCACCAAAATTCTTTTCTCTTTGATTTTTCTTAAAATTACTTCTTTAATAAAATCATCAACTTCTCTTCGAAAATCTCTTAGGAATTCTTCTTTTTAAACTTCTTAAGAAAATCACTTCTTCTCTAACTTCCTAGTAATTTAGAAGGGCAGTGCTCAACCTTTCGACTGAGCCCGGTGGACCGTGGTTACGGATGGCCACCCCGAACAAGTGCCGGTACCACAACTGCTCTTGCAGAAATGAAACGACTACCTTAAGTGTGCACACCCCCTAAAAGGGATTCCAAGCCCTCCGAGTAGTAAGTCATCCCGAGTGGTCGGAACCCAACCACTCCACCTTTAAAATTCTTGAATGATTAGGGACTACTACTATAACTTCTTCTTAAAAGGGATCATAGATCCAAATGTCACTTCAAACTCAAACTGTACTTCTTAGTAGTAGCAGCCCTAATCACCCTCCACATTTATCCGGATGTGGAAAACCGACACCTCGGATTACTCCCGAGATGCTCACTTCTTATGAAAATGTAAACTTTATCTTCAATTAAATAATACTTCAAAAATACTTCTCAATTTCTCTAAAAAGTCTCGAAGGTATTTAAAAATATTTAATACCCCAAAAGTACTTAATTTATATTTCTCAACTACCATATATATAATATCTTCTCAAAATCACATACACAAAATTCACAATTCACACTTAATCACATAATGCATAATAAGCAAGCATATAATACGAGGAAATAATTTTGGATTGGCAGAGAAACTTACCTTAAGTCCTGATGCTCCTAATTCACGTCCTCTACTTCAGTCTCTAATTAGTCACCTTTTTAATTAAGATGATATAATTAGTCACTTATTCTATTTTTAATAATTTATCTGATATTCCCCTTTTTATTTTATTATTCGAATTTATTAATTTATTTAATTAATTATTCGATTTAATCACTTTTTATTAAGCAAATTATCTTATTAATTCCGCCATTAATTACAATATTTCTATATCTGAACAAAATATCCGAATATAATTAAATTCAACATCAAATTTTTAATTTAATAATCACCATTAATTTACTATACTTATAAAAATTTAATTATATTTTAATATTATTAAAATATAGGAAACATATCCAAATTATTTTCTTTTAACTATTCAAATTAATTTATATTAATCAACATTATTAATAAATTAGAATATTATAACAATTTATTTATACAAACTAATCATCATTAACGTAGTCTGATTTTATTAATTACTCAACCACTTAATAATTCCGAGTCTGTAATTATGTTAATTTATTAATCTACTTCAATTAATCCAACAATTAGTGAAAATAATATTCATCCAATTTATATTTAATCTAATTATGGTACTAAATCAAAATAACTAATTATTATTTTAATATAATATTAATTACCAACAATTCATTTAA